GAAACAGTGAACTACCCTTCCCCATTAGTTCTCCATTGGTTTTTATCAGTCCATTTGGCCCCAAGGCTCAGATTTGAACAACTCTTTTCAGCGGTGCAAAGTAAATGGTACTTTCAGCAAGATTGAAACTGTAGGGCTAGTCACAGAATAACAATTATTACAGCACAGAAGGAGGTCTTTCTGTCCATCATGTTTGCACTGGCTGTCGGAATGAGCATTTCACTAAGTACCATTTCCTAATTTCTCACCATTACTCTGCACATTGTTCCTTTGGAAACAACATTTTAATTCCCTTTTTGAAAGCCTTAATTTAACATGCTTCGACCAGAGACTTTTAGGCAGTGCATTCCACCCCAATCACACTTTATGAAAAATATGTTTACCCATATCACTTTTGCTTCTTTTGCCAAATATTTTAGATCTGTATCTTCTTGTTCTTAAGCCTTTCATGAATGACAACAGTTTATTTCTTTCTGCTCTATCCAGGTCCCTCAGCACGGAAACATTTTTGTGATTTTTTTTTTCTGAATCCTCTCCAGTATCTTCACGTCCTTCCTAAAGTGTGGCACACTGCAGTAGACACAGTGCTTCAGTTGAAGCTAAACTAGTGACTTGTACAATTTCAACACAGCCTCCTCAATCTGTACTCTAAAGCCCAGTTAATAAAACTGAGATATGCATTATTAACTATACTGTCATCCTGTCCTGACATCTTTACTGACTTATGCACATGAGCATCCATGTCCCTATGGTTTTGCACTTACTTTTGAGTTTTACTCTTAATTTTATATTGTGTCTCCATGTTTTCGTACCAAAATGTATCACCACACATTACTCCACATTGGATATCATCTGCTACCAATCCAGCCAACTTGCCTATTGCCTTTCAGAATTCGATACTATCCTCCTCATTGTTTGCAATGCCTCCTTGTTTCATTCCTCAACTTTTGACTTATGGTATATGTCATTAAAATAGAAAATGAGGAAAAAAAAATACAGGAAAAGCAAGGATCCTAACATTGACCACTATGGAACACTACTGTAAACCTTCCTCCAATTTAAAGAACATCTATTAACCACTACTGTTCATATCACTCAGTCAATTCTGTATTCATATTGCTACTGTCCTTTTTATTTCATAAGTTCAAACTTGGCTGTTAGGTTTTTTAAAATTCATTGGATGTCCCTGATTAGACCAGCATTTATTGCCCATCCCTAATTGCCCAGAGAGCAGTTAAGGGTCAACCAAATCAGGATAGGATGGTAGTTTCCTTCCCTGAAGGACACTATTGATGGGTTTTTCTGGCAATCAGCAATGGATTCATGGTCATCATTGGACTCTTAATTCAGAGTTTTATTGAATGCAAATTCCATCATCTGCTATGACAGGATTTGAACCCAGATCCCCCAGAACATTAACTGGGTTTCTGGATTAACAGTCCACTGATAATAACACTAGCCCGTTGCCTCCCCTAAACAATGTACAATATTGTATTAAATGTTAGTTTGGAAGTCCATGTATACCACATGAATAACATTGCTGTCATCAACCGTCTCTGTTATGTCTTCAAAAGACCTCAGTAAGTTAATTAAACAAGATATTACCTTAAGAATCCCATGCTGGCTTTTTGTTTTAATTAAGCTGCAGTTGTCTATGTGGGTTTCAATTTTGTAATAAATTATTATTTCCAGAAGTTTCCCCCACCACTGAAGTTAAACTGACTGACCCCTCATCTTTCTCTCCTTTTTTCTCAAGTGTTTATCGTTTACAGTTTCCATTGTCAATTTCCTTAATATCCTTGAATGCATTTCATCCAGTCTCGTGTCTTATCAACTTTAGGTACAGACAGCCTATCCTGTATCTCATTCTTATCAAATATTAGCCTTCTAGTGACTGCGTTAACTCCTCTTTCTTCAAGACTTTTGCAGCATCAACTTCCCCTTTTAAAAGATAGCTGTGAAGTATTCGTTTAACACATTGGCTAGCCCCTCTGCCACCATGTGTAAATCTCCTTTTTGGTTCCTAATCATCTCTACTCCTTCTCTTGCCAACCTTTTTACTATTTAAATGCCTATCAAAGATTTTCGGATTCTCTTTCATTTAGTTGGCAGTCTTTTCTCAAATTCCCTCTTTGGTTCTTTTGTTTGCTGTTTCACATCTGCTCTGAGCTTCTTTATTCAACCTGTTCTCAATTGTATCTTCCACTTGACATCAGTCATAACACACCTTTTCTTCTTCACTTTAATTTCTGTCTGTTTTGTCAACCAGAAGCTTTTCATTTGTTTTCCATATTTTTCCTTTTTGAGTCAAATACCTTGACTGTGTCTGAACTATCTTTCTTTCAAGGTAACAGTGTTCAGTTGCATCCCAAGTATTATAATTGGTGTGTTCAAGATTTTTGGAAGTTTATCTTAAAACTAACCTAATTTTTTTAATGCTAGTTATATATAATTACTGTAATTGAGTATGATGTTCCACTACTGGCAGAAGCATGGTGGCTCAGCATTTTGTACTGCTGCCTCAGAGCACCAGGGACCCAATTCTACCCTTGGGTAACTGTCGGTGTGAAGTTTGCACATTCTCCCCATATCTGTGTGGGTTTCCTCTGGGTACTTTGGTTTCTTCCCACAATGCGGGTCAGATGGATTGGCCATGCTAAATTGCCCGTAGTCGCCAGGGATTTGCAGGTTAGGTGGATTAGCCATGAGAAATGCAGGGTTACAAGGATAGGGTAGGAGTTTGGATCTGGATGAGATGCTCTTTGGATGGTCGGTGTGGACTTGATGGGCTGAATGGACTGCTTCCACATTGTAGGGATTCTATGATTCTATGATACTGTACTTTGTCCTATCATGCAAACAGGTAAAAGTTTGGGTTGTAATTTTTATGGCTCAACTTTTATTGTTTCTGCCACGGCTAAATGAAATTTTCCCATTCTGAAGTCAATGTGCAAGTGATGTTTCTTGACTGCTCAGAATTGATATTTTGGGCTTATTAAGGCTTTTTGAGCAAAACTCTACATTGATCAGAATTACTATTATCGGGAAATGTTGGTATATTGAAATTGTATGCTTGGATAAAATAGCGGGCTTAAACTGAACTTAGCTGAAAAGCAAAACTTATTGCTAAAGTCCTTCTTCTTGAACTCATCAGTACAAACACAGAATAAACTTGTTTTCTGAAAAAATGTTAGAGTGGTGCAATTAACAGCAACCCCAAACATGCAGCATTTTTGTCCAATCATATGCTCACTAAAAGCAGAGTTTGTCGTGGTGTGTAGCTTTAATTTCAAATTTTCTATTTTCCTTGTTAAATGGGAAGTGGTATTTGGTGAGTATGAACTTTTCTGTTCTCCGCTATCCTGCCACAATGCAGTGTCCAATGAAAATACCAAGACCTTGAAATAGTGGATCGATTGCATGCATATTGTGCAGTACCAAATGAATTGTCTCAAGTGGTTTACACGTGTACTGCTAGATGTGATTCCATGATTGGATAGCATTTTCTCAACAATCCTGATGCACTAACAACTACACAAATGATCAATTTAAGACATAAGCAAAATAGTGCTGTAAATCCAAAATAAAAGCAGAAAATGCTAGAGAAACTCGGCAAGCCTATGGGTACACAACGGTGTTAACGTCAGAACTGAAGAAGAGAAGAGAATAGAATACCTGCATCATTTATTGATACGTGTATTGCAGTACAGGAGTACAGTGAAAAGATTTTACAATGGTCACCATCTTTGGTACAAATCTTGAATGCAAAAGAGTAATAAAGGGAAAAGTAGTGGCATTACTTACAATGTCAAAAAAAAGTTAGAAATAAGACAGTTATAACATAGATAAGGGATTGACATTCTAATCTGGTTAAAAATTCCAAATAGCAGCAGGTAAGCACGTGGTCTGACCGCCTGTGCCAGACCCCAGTCCGACAACTGTCTTGCTCCGCTCCACGCCTCCAATGCGCTCTGCGCTGGCACTCAGTTGCACTAAGTTATCCTGCACTGGGACTTGCCTGCCCACTTGCTGCTCCAGGACTGCTAAAAAGAGAGAAAGAAAAGAAAAAAAAACAGGCAGAGCAGAGGAGCTCTGGGTGCCATCCTGCTGGTAGAACCAATTTTATGATGATTATTTATGCTTGCCTAAAGGGACATACGTATGAAGGGATCATAGTTCAAGAACAAGGGGTAAGCCTTTTAGGACTGAGATGAGGATAAATGTGTTCACCCAGAAAGTGGGTATTCTGTGGAATTCAATACCACAAACTGTTTGAGGTGAAAACTTTGTGTTTTTAATGAGGAGGTAGATGTAGCTCTTGTGGTTAGAGACATCAAGGGATATTTGGGGTGGGGGTGTCGGTGAGTGGGAATAGTGGAGCAAGCTTGAGGGGTGGAATGGACTACTTCTGCTCCTATCTTCTATGTTTCTATGATTACATCACTTACTGAATGTGGTTTCCACCCTGCTATTTTTTTCAAGCTCAATATAAATTTAATATTTTTAAATTTCTTCTGGAGTTTTATTAAAAGAAAGGAATTGACAATTCTGTAGAAACCTTTGATAACCAAATATATTTTCCCCTTTCCTTTTCCATTTTTCTCTTCTCATCTCGAAGGCATTTCTTCTTAAACTGGGTTACAGTGCCAAAAATTCTAGTAGTTTTTCAAAAAAAAACTCATGATCTAAATGTCACTGTCAAAGTCAGTATTTATTCCCCATTCCTGATTGCTTTGAAAAGTGAACCTTAACGGTGGATTCAGACAGACTAGTTAACTACTATTGATTTTGAACCCTGACTTAAATCCATTATGCATTTAGGATTCACTTCTAAAGGGGCTGCTGGACCACATTTGTGATCTTCAATATAGATCACATCTGCTCAATGTGGTTCTTTCACCTACTGAATAAAGGTACCCAGCCATCAGGGGAGAAAATGTACATTTTTGACTTATAAGTAGCTGAAGGCGTACTCTGACTTAAACTTTTGTGTATTTCAGATTATATGAAGAACCTGTCTATAGACTGTGCCGATTACAAAGATACCCAAGGTATTAGATTGTCTGAAATAACTATTTATAAAATACTGGCATTTTTGTCTTTCATATATTAAGATACTGCTGATTATCTTTATGTTGTCAGCTGCTCTTGCCATTGTTGTTGAAGTAGCGAACCATGCCAATGACATAATGAAACAAGGGGTAGGTAAACAAATTTAACTCACTACTGTATTGATTTATTCTCTGTTTGTTTGTTTTTTTTTGAAAACTAGCTGTAATCTTAAAGTTGTTTTTTTTCCTCTCTCTGCCTCTAGGATAACTTCCAGAAGCTGATGCAGATTCAGTATAGCCTAAATAGCCAACAAGAAATTGTACAACCTGGAAGGGTGAATATTGCTGACTGACAATAGAAACTTCTATTCAAATATTTAAAGAGAATTTTGTAGACCATCGAGTGCAGGGAAGGAGATGCATCTTTCATTTATCTTTCTTGTATATCTAGATCCAAACTCTCCCTAATAATCTAGAACATAGAACAGTACAGCACAGTACAGGCCCTTCGGCCCACAATGTTGTGCCGAACTTTTACCCGAAACCTAAGGTCTATCTGACCTCCACCCCTACCTTATACTATCATCGACTAGCTATTTTCACTTCGTGCTGCTGACTCAAACGTTGTAAAATTGATGAATGCAGTTGCTGCAACATTGTAATGGTGATGTAACGCCTTATTCTCAAAAGAGATTGATTAGTAAGAGGTATATCTGTTGAAGTATAAGACACTTGCTGTAAATATTTAAGTTTTTTATGTATTTGCAAGTTAGTATAGAAACAAGGACAGAACAAGCAAATGTGTGACTGGAGAGATGGTGCAGAAAGGAGGGCTTTAAGTTGGTGGGACACTGGAACCTGCACAGGCTGGTTGGGTTGCACCCCAACAGACTTTTGACCATTGTCATTGTTAGGTGTTATGTAAGTAGTATTGGGGATGGTTTAAACAAATGAAGTAGCAGGATTGGAACCATATTTCAACATTAGAAAGGGAAAACAAATGGCACAAAGAAATGGGCGAGTCAGATCGAGAATGTAAGAAGATCTAAATTATGTTTGTAATGCATGTATGTGATTGTGTAATGAATAAGGTTGGTGAGCTCCAGGCACGGATTAGCATGTGAGGAAATGATGTTTTGGCAGTAATGGAGATCTAGCTCAAAGAAGGTAAGGACTGGTTAGTAAATAGTCCTGTATATATGTAATGTTCAGGAAAGAAATGAGAGGAGAGTCTGGCAGTACTGATTTTAAAAATAATAGTGTAGTGCTAGAGAGAGAGATTGTCCCACAGGGATCAGAGAGAATTTATTTGTCTGGAACTAAGAAACAATAGAGTAATTTTACATTACTGGGAATGTTCTGTTGGCCTCCAAATTGTGGGCAAGGTATAGAAGAACAAATTTGAAAGGGGCTTACAGAGAGTTATAGTTAGTGTCATTCTCATATTATAGACTACGGTAGTCATAGTGTAAAGACTAAGAGGAGGGGAACGTATTTCTGGAAAGATGAGAATGGACCTGTCCCAGGAATCTGGAATCAAAGATTAGCAGGCAAAAATGTAACTGAACATAGGGATCCTCTAGAAGAGGAAATAATTTCAGTACAGTTCTGGCACATTCGCATGAGGTGGAAAGGTAGGATAAACAAAATCAAACATATTTCCAATATGATGATTGAGATACAGTAAGAAATGGAAAAAGGATGCATATGACAAATGTCACTATGATAGTAGAAGTGAGATCTAGGCTGAATATAGTAAGTTTACTTGAGAAGCAACATGGAGCCAGTGTAGGAAGAGACTGGCAGCCAACATAACAGGGAATCGAAAAGTCTTCAATAGGGCATATAAATGGCAAAAAGGGTGTTAATGGGAGGACTAGGGCCACTTAGGGAACAAAACATAGATCTAAGCATGAAACAAAGGGCTTGGCCGAGGCACTAAATGACTCCTTTGCATATGTCTTTACCAAGAAAGAAGTTGGTGATGGAGGTGGCGAGACACTAAAAGTTGATAAAGTGAAGGTATGAGAAAAACTGTTTGTACTTTAAAGTTGGTAAGCCACCAGGATGGCATTAGATGCATGTGAGGATGCTGAGGCAAATAAAGACGAAAACTCTGGAGGCGCTAACTGTTATTTTCTAATCGTCTTTTGATACAGAGTAATGCCAGCGGTCAAGAAAATTGCAAATGTTATATCCCTGTTCAAAGAGAGGTGCAAGAGTAAACACTATAATTATAGGTCAATCAGTTTAGCTTCAGTTATGGGAAAGCATTTAGAAACTATAATCCTAAACAAAGTTAATAGTTTCTTTGAGGGGAAGTGATGGCCTAGTGGTATTAACGCTGGACTATTAATCCAGAGACCCAGATATTGTTCTGGGGACCCGGGTTCGAATCCCGCCATGGTAGAAGGTGGAATTTGAATTCAATAAATATCTGGAATTAGGAGCCGAATGATGACCATGAATCCATTGCTGATTGTCGGAAAAACCCATCTGGTTCACTAATTTCCCTTAGGGAAGGAAACTGCCATCCTTACCTGGTTTGGCCTACATGTGACTCCAGACACACAGCAATGTGGTTGACTCTGAACTGCCCTCTGGGCAAATAGGGATGGGCAATAAATGCAGTGATGCCCTCATCCTGTTAATGAATAAAGGAAAAAAAATTGGATAGGAAAGCTAGGACAAATATGTAAAGGGAAAATCAGATATAATTATTGAGTTTTCTGATGAAGTAAGGGTTGATAAGCCTATTGCAGTTGACAAGGTGCACATGGATTTTAAAGAACATTTGGTAAAGTGTTGTCAGTAAAATTAAAACCTGTGGAGTGAAAAGGACAATGGCAGCATGGATGAAAGTTGGCTGAGTGACCTAGATTTCAGTGTACAAGGCACAATTTCAAAATTTGCAAATGACACAAAATTTTGAAATATTATGAACTTTGTGAACTATGAGAAGGTTCAAAGAAGACTTCAAAAGCACATGGACAGGATGGTGCAATGGGCATGTGTGTGACTGATGAAATTGATTGTGGGAAAGTGTGATGTGATACACTTGGTTAGCAAAAACAAAGAACAGCGATATAAATTAAAGGGTACAATTCTAAAGAGGATGGAGGATGCAGGAGCAGAAGGATCTTAGGTTATATGTGCACAAATCATTGAACGTGGCAGGGCAGACTTGGAAAGCATTTATCAAGGCATACAAATTGAGGCAGTACAAAAACAAGGAAGTTTTTTCTAAAATTTTTTTCTAAAACGAGGTCTGGCATCAGCTGCAGTATTGCCTACAGTTACAGATACCGCAGTTTAAGAATGTATTGGAGGGAGTGTAATAATTATGTAAAAGGTTCCAGAAATGAGGAACTTCAATTACATGGAGAGATTTTAGAAGCTAGGGCTATTCCACTTAGAGAAGAAAAGATTGAGGGAAGATTTTACAGGGTGCTGAATGTCTTGAGGGGTCTGGACCTGATAGATGATGAGAAACTGTTCCCTTTGGCAGAAGGGCTCATAACCAAAAGACATTGAGTTCAAGTAATTGGCTTAAACACCAGAGATATAAGGAAAAACATTTTTACACAGTGGTTCAGATTGTGAATGCACTGCATGAGCATGTCGTTGGCACAGATTCAATCATGGTATTCAAAAGGAAATTAATTAAGCACCTGAAGAGAAAAGATTTGCAGGGCTACAGGGAAAAGGCAGAGGAGTGCGTCTAGATGAGTAGTTTTGGAAGAGACCTGGCATGGACACAATGAGCTAAATAGGTTTCTTCAATGTTGTAATTATAGTTCTATAATTCAATAAGAAAAGGGTGGCATACTTGGTGTTAACACTTAGCACTGATCATATTCTCTGCTGCTGCTTGTTATGATAATGCATCACTGTACATGGAAAGGAATTGGACAGGTGAGACAGAAGTTGACATAACGGCAATGGACTTGTCTGGATTTCTGGAGCAGTGGCAGCAAGGTTAAAAGGAGCACAGTGAGCAGAGAAGTCCCAGGAACGGACAGACCATTGGTAAAGCTGCTTCAATGTAATTGAAATGTGTCTTCACAGAAGAGCAGAGAAGTAATTGGTGGTTATTTCTCTTGGCTCTTGTGACTGGATATTGATTTAAGTTAAGACCTTGAGTACAGCTTAAGCCTTTCAATAGATAATGAATATCTTCAAAATTAAATTTGTTTCTTTGAGAGAATTAAGGGGATTCTGGTTGTTTGTTTGTGATTTTATCTAAGACTTTTTGCTAGTCTTCGCTTAAGTAGGTGTAAGAGTAAATAAAAGCAAGGGGTCTACATTTTATTTAGTTAAGCTGTGTCTGGGAATCTCCGGTCTGTGACATGTACATTCTACACCACGTGGGAAATTGTAGACACTCCTGGTGGTCTAGATGGCCATGTGTGCAGGAGGTGCCTCTGGCTGGAGTAACTTGAGCTCTGGGTTTTGGGACTTGAGTGCTGAATACAACAGAATCTTCCCAAGGCTGAGATGTTCATGCATAACAAGCTTTTGGATGTGGTTATCCTGCAACTTAAAGAAGTTCAGGCAAAGAGGGTTGGGTGACTGTCAGACTGAAGGTGGTGATCAGGCAGCAAGGTTCCCTCTCTTCTGAGGAAGGATCACTGGACCCGAAACGTTAACTGTGATTTTTCTTCACAGATGCTGCCAGACCTGCTAAGCTTTTCCAGCAACATTTGTTTTTGTTCCCTCTAATTACTTTTTCTGCTGCGTGGACCTCTGAGATCTGTGCACGGCAGCAGCTTCTGAAGCCAGATGTAGGTCCTGGAATGAACTCGACATTTCTATTTGTGCATGGAACCTCCAAGAGGTTATGCAGTTGTGCAGCTCCAAGGGAACTTGCCAGGCAGACAGTGAGGGAATCCCCTGAGTGCATCTCATTCACAAAGCATTTTACAGTCTTGGAAAATAGCAAGAGTGACAGTAATTCTGTGCATGCCAGCCCGTTCCAAGGCGCTATGGGTACTTCAGCTGATCAGAGTTGAACAGGGTAATAGTAATAGGGGATTGGTTGGCAAGGGGAAGGACAGGCATTTCCATGACCGTAGACTCCACAATGGTACATTGCCTCCTAGGTGCTAGGTTCAAGGATATCATGGAATGGCTGTCACGTTCTGGAGTAGGAGAGTGAATAGCTAGAGGTTGCAGTCTGTGGCAAGCTGTAGCTAGTTGTGTGTCACAGGAATCAGTGCTGGGGCCACAATTATTTATAATGTATATTAATGACTTGAATGAGGAAAGTGAATTAACCATAGCCAAATTTGCAGTAAACACAAAAATAGGTGGGAAAGCAAAGTGGTGAGAATGACAGAAAGATTTTGCAAAGGGTTATAGACTGGTTAAGCGAGTGAACAAAAACTTGGCAAATGGAATGTACTGTGGGGAAATGTGAGGTTATGCATTTTGGCAGAATGAATGGATGGGTTGAATATTACTTGAATGGAGAAAGACTGCAGAAGACTACAGAACAAGAGGAATTTTGGAGCCTTAATCCCTGAATCATAAAAAGCTAGCATCCAAATTCAGCAAATGGAGTGTTGGCCTTTATTTCCTTAGAAATGGACTTTAAATATTTCTATTTGTTTTTCTAAAATTATACAAGGCATTGGTCAGACTACAGTTAGAATGTTGCAAACAGTTTTGGGACCTTTATCTAAGGAAAGATATACTGGAATTGGAGGCAGTCCAGACAGGGTTCATTACGCTGATATCAGATTTGTAGGTACTGTCTTATAAAGAGAGATTGAGTAGATTGAGCCTTTACTGATTTGCCGCTCATTCTTCTAAACCCCAAACTGACTGAAATATACAAGATTCTTTGGGGACTTTACTGGGTAGACATAGAAAGTTCGTTTTGCTTTGTGGGAGAGCCTAGGATTCATGGGCATTAGCTCAGTATAAGAGGTTGCATGTTTAAAACAGAGTTGAGTAATTTCTTCTCAGAGGGTAGTGAATCTGGGGAATTCTTTCCTGCAGAGATCTGTTGAAGCTGGATCATCAAGTATGTTCAAGGTTGAGATGGAAAGATTTTTAATTGGTAAGGGAATCGAGAATGATCCCGAAACAGCAGGAAAGTGGAGTTGAAGATTATCAGATCAGCCATGATCTCACTGAATTGAGGAGCAGACTGGATGTGCTGAACGGCCTACTTCTGTTTCTACTTCTTACAATCTTGTGTTGGGACCATGACACAGAAAGAAAGAGAAATGAAATCCTGCAGAATATCTTAGGGAGTGACCTAGGAAATTGAAAAGTAGGACTTCAAAGGTAGAATTCTTTGGATTAGTCCTGATTCCATGTGGTAGTGAGTATAAGAGTAGAAAGAGTAGATTAATGCGTGGCTGGAGAGAGAGTGCAGGAGGGAAGACTTTAGGTTCCTCGGGCACTGGGGCCATTCATAGAGGATCCATACAATTTGGACATGTTACATCTGAACAAGAACAGGATCATCTTTCTCACAGGGCAATTTGGTGTTCCTGTTGAGTGGATTTAAACTATATTGGTAGGGGGATGAAATCTTTGCAAGTCATTTAGAAGGGCGAGAAGCTAAGTTGGAATTAGAAGTTAACTCACAAATAAGTGAGTCTGGAAGGCAGAGGAAACATAGCCTAGATAAGAATGATGTGAGTTTAGCAAGGTAATAGAATGCACAGAGTCTTGAGGATAAGTGGCTAGCAGTGCTGCCTCAGCACCAGGGACCCGTGTTCAATTCCACCTCAGGCGACTGTCTGCGTGGGTTTCCTCTGGGTGCTCTGGTTTCCTCCCACAGTTCAAAGAAGTGCAGATTAGGTGGATTGGCCACGCTAAATTGTCCATAGTGTCCAGGGATGTGTAGGTTAGGTGGATTAGCCATGAAAATGCAGGGTTAGGGTAGCGGGAAGGTCTGGGTGGGATACTCTTCAAAGGGTCAGTGTGTACTCAATGGAGCTGAATGGTCTGCTTCCACACCATTGGGATTCTATGATATGACAGACCAGCTGAGGGCACGGATAATCTTGTGAGGGTTTGATATTATAGCTATGACTGAGCGCTCTAAGATGGGCAGGATTGGCTGCTCAACATTCTTGGTTGTAGTATATTTAGACAAGATAGAGAGAAATAGAAGAGGGGTCACAGTACTGATTCAGGAATATCTTGGCAGGATCATCGAATTAAGCAAACAACACAGAAGGGGCAAATACACTGGTTAATACACACTGTAGGCCCCCAAATAATCAGTGAGAGATAGACAATCAAATATGTTATCAAGTTTCAGAGAACTGGAGGCAATCACAGTTGGGTATCTTAACCATCTAAGTATTAACAGGAAACTTTTAGTCTGCAAGGTAGGAAGGGTCCAAAATTCTTAAATTGTAACCAGGATAATTTTCTTATTACATAGAATGCTCAACAAGGGAGAGATATATCTGGACCTAATGTTTGGAAATGAGTCCAGATAGATGAGTATACAAATAGGAAGGATTTAGAGGGTTATGGGCTAAATGCTGGGATTGGGCCTAATGCTGGCTAGGCCAATTGGGACTAGATTTATTTAGGATATCTGGTCGACATGGATGATTGGACCAAAGGGTCTGTTTCTGTGCTGTATCTATATAACTCAATATAACTCTATTAAGTGGAAGGGGTAGGGGAGCATTTTGGAGATGGTAACCATAGCTAAGATTTAGGATAGTTATGGAAAAGGATAATGGTGGGCGAGGAATAGGAGTTCTCAATTGGGGAAGGCTAATTTCATTAAGATAGATACAGTTTGGCCAAAGAGGACTGGGATCAGGTACTTTGGAGATAAAACTGTGCCAAAGCAACGGCAGGCATTGAAAGAAAAAAAAGTACAGGGCAAACCCATTCCACAAAGAGAAAAAGTGTGACCAAGACTAAAGAACCATGTGTGTCAAGAGACATAAATCGTAAGATGGAGAAGGAGAAGTAAGCCACACAGCCCATTGAGTCTCCTCCGCCATACAATGAGATAATATCTGATCTGCTAACCTTCAGCACTTTCCTGCTTTTTCCCCTTTACCCTTGAATCCCTTACTGATTACAGTTAGGACTAAGATATAGAGGGAGGAATTTGACACAGCCCCTAAACGAGTGTAAAACTGCAGGGATAACTTAAAAAGGGCAGTACAATAGCCAAGAGAGTGCATGGGAAAGAATTGGTGGGTAGAATAATGAAAAATCTAAATGGGTTTTTAAACAATGTAAAGAACAAGGGAATAACTAGGGCAAGAGTAGGGCCCATTAGGGACCACAGAGGCAATCTAGGTGCAAACCTATCCTCAATGAAAACTGTGTCAGTCTTCACAATGGAAAAGGACTCGCTGGACAACAGGATGGACAACTGTGAAATATTAGAAGAATTAACATAACATTAAGTAATTAACATAAAGAGAGAGGAGGTACTTGTGGATTTAGCAGCCTTAATAAGTGGATAAATCCACAAGCTTGGATGAGAAGCATTCTAGGCTATTGAGGGAGGCAAGGTAAGAGATATCGGGCATTGGCAGCAATGCTGAAATCCTCTCTGTCCAAGGGTGAGGTGCCAGAGGACCTGAAGGCATGCTGACATCCTCTCATTATTAAGACGGGGAGGTATGGATAGATCAAGAAATTACAGGCTAGTCAGTCTAACCTCAGTGGTTGGAAAGTTATTAGAAAGAATTCTCAAGGACCAAACATATCTGCATTTGGAGAGAGACAGATTAATTGGGGATGATCAGCATGGCTGTAAGGGAAGGTTCTGTTTGACAAATTTGAGCAAATTTTTGAAATGAGAAACATGAGTGTTGTTGAGAATAATGCATTTGATGGTCAACATGGACTTTATTAAAGATTTTGCTAAGATCCTTCATGGCAGACTGATAACAAACTAAGAGCTTGTGGGATCCAAGGCGAAATGGAATGTTGGATCCAAAATTAGTTAAGAGACAGGAAGCAGAGGGTGATGGTACAGAAATGTTTCTGTGACTGGAAATTTTGTTTTCAGTGGTGTTCTGCAGGGCCCTTGCCGTACTTTCATGATTTCAAGTTAAATATAAGTGGCGCAGACTCGATGGGCAGAAGGACCTCTTCTGTACTGCGTGATTACGTAAGAGATACGATCAAGAAGTTTACAAATAATATGAAAATTGTCATGGGGCTAAATTGGATGAGGAGGATAGCCATAAACCACAGGAAAATATCAACAGACTGGAATTTAACCTGGAAAAGTGTGAGGTAATACACTTGGGCAAGGTTGACAAGGCTAGGATTTAAACCATGGGGTGGTAGGACTATGGAAAGTACTGAAGATTAGAGAAATCCTGATGTATATATCCATAGATTCCTGGAGGTACAGCCCAGGTAGATAAGGTGGTTAGGAAGGAGCATGAGAAATGGGATTTATTGTGGCCTTTATTTGCTGAGGAATAGCGTATAAGAACAGAAAAGTTAGGTTGGACCAGTATAAAACAGTGGTTAGCCCACAATTGAAGTACTGCTTGCAGTTCTGGTCACCGCATTGTGGAAAGGATGTCATTGCAGTAGAGAGAGTACAGAGGACATTTACCAGAAGGCCTAGTTTGAATGGTCTAAGCTCTGAAGAAAGATTGCATAGTACGTTGTTTCCAAGGAAATCTGTCATGGCTGCTTAATTCAGTAACTAATAGTATTATTATGTTGTTTCTCTTTGACTAGGTGTTTTTGAAGGAAGGAACTTTGATGAAGCTTTCTAGAAAGGTTATGCAGCCCCGAATGTTTTTTTTGGTAGGTGATTTTATGTTTAAGTCCTGTACATCTAACCCTTTTAAAAGCTGTGATCATTTTTTTTCCTACATATTTTGTTCTTTATATAACTTGTAATTTTGTTGAACATTGTATACTGTTGAAATCTCAGAAACACATTAATTTCTTTAAGTAGAGATGTCTATCAGTGAGATAAATTTTATTGCATGAAGTCATTTAAATTCTTAAAGGTTTAGGACAATGATAGTCTTAAAATCTTTCAGGGAATAAAGTATACAAGCTACTTGAAAAGAGCCGACAAATAGGATTATTTAGATAGTTCCAACATACTGCTATGGCATTTCTTTCAGGATTTTCCAGTTAGAACCGTGTTTGTGATAGTCTGTACTATTCTATCCATTATTAGTCATAGTCTATTGGAATATTGGAATTGGACTATTGGAATTCCTCTATTCCTCCCCTCATCCAGTTTCTGTTGATGTCCACCCATCTAGCTTTGCTTTGATATGGCCTTTCTTTGCTGATGACTTATCTTCTATTGTCACCAAGGCCAAACTTTCATCCTAAATGTTAAAGTGATCGTATTTTCTTAATTTCTATTTCTTTACTTCAGCTAAAAGCCCATGATGTGCTGGGACTCCAGTTTTCTTGTTGACAAGGTCACTGATTCTTCAGTCTCTCCCGTGCAGTGAAGGAAACTGCACGGAAAGTCCGTGCAGCTTCATACCATCGATTTTGAACATTGCTTTTTCAAATGCAGACCGACATTGAATGCTCTCCTTGCCTCATTCTGTTTTAAGACCACAATGTGCACTCCATGTTGGGAAGTTTTAAACAAACAGATATTGGTGTTAATTAAAAGCTGAGTACCATTGTCCTGGGTGGTTTCTTAAGATTGTCTTAACTGTTGTCTGATGTCATTTTTGAGTTAGGTGCCAAACCTACTAGACAGGCTGTGCCCACAGTGTCATTTTAATTTTCCTCAATCCAACTAGCCAGTTGCTGCTCCATAAGTCTACTCTCAATCAACAGCAAGGTAGTGGAGGATGTCGTTGATATTGTTGTCAACCGTTAATCAGAGACTGAACTGAACCAGCCGTGGAAATACTGTGGTTACAAGCGGCTGTGAATTCTGTGCTGAATAACTTGCCTCCTGACTCTTCAAACCATGATTACCATCTATCTGTAAGGTGTGATGGAATACTCTCTCCTTGACTGGATCAGTGCAATTCCTACAAGACTAAAGAAGGCTGATAGTATTCAGAACAAAGCAGTGTACTTGATCGGCATTCCATCCATCATATTAAGCATTTACTTACTCCACCACCAACACGCAGTAGCAGCAGTATGTACCAAATGTAAAATGCACTGCAGTAATTCATTCAGGGTCCCTCATCAGCCCTTTCCAAACCTGCAATCTGTACTACCTAGAAAGACAAGGGCAACAGATGCATGGGAGCATTACACTTCCAAATTCCCTTCCAACCGTATGCCAACCTGGCTTGGAACTATGTCATCATTCATTCACTGTTACTGGGTCAAAATGTAGGAACTCCCTCTCTAAGAGCCCTATGGGTGTAACTACACCACAACAGCTGAAGTGTTATAAGAAAGCAGCTCATGACTATCCATTTGAGGGCAATTAAAAGTGAAAAATAAATGCATGCCAAGTAAGAGTGCTCACATCCTGTGAAAGAATAAAACAAAAGTCATGTATATAATTGTCTAACCTTGAGTCAATGCTTACGATTGTTGAAATTCACAACTCATCATACAGATAGTATGGCACAGGATCTTTTATTGCATGTTGCACTATTTGGTACAGGAACTCACTTTAAACCATTATGAAGAAAATAATGAGTTTTGATCCTGAATTATTGTTTTGAATTCACATTTAGGATATGTTTCCCTTTGCAGCTGAATGACGTGTTACTCTACACTACGCCAGTGCAATCTGGAACATTCAAGATGAACAACATGCTTTCTCTAGCAGGTATGAAGGTAAGTGATTTTTGATTCTCCTCATCATTCTTCTTAAGTTAAGTTGTTAAAGTGTCATAATTTTATCATTATATGGAAAATGTTCCACACAAAGTAAGTAAACTGTGGATACTGCTCTGAATCTTTGCACACCAGATATTGCTTGAAATTGACACCAAATGCCTTGAAAAACCGTACCAATTGTTTCCTATACAGTTGCTTGTTATCTGGTTGAACCAGTATTTAGCAGGCAGTTAGAAACAATTTCATTGTTAACTATAGAATATTGCTGTGACCTTAATTCTATTAATAATACCTTTCCAGTCAAAATGAGGGTGAATGCTTTCTGTTGACTTGTTTAAATATATGAAACATATTGTTTATCCTATAGGTCAGTAAGCCATCTCAAGAAGCCTATCAAAATGAACTGAACATAGAGAGTGTTGAACGATCTTTCATTCTTTCAGCAAGGTAATGGCTCATCAGCAGGACTGAGTTAAATAGATATAATATTGCTAATACACCGTCGAGGCTTGCAATATCTGTTTATAAAAAAGGGACGGTTGATAATTAAGGAACGTAGAGGGCCTTTACAGTTGTCCAACAAGTTTGAGGTTCTTTCAACTTGTCTGAATGAGAGTGAGGGTACAGAAAACGTCTCAAGAATGGGCAGTAAGAAGAAATGTAGCGATAGTAATGAGAGGATCAGCTCTGTGCTCTGCAGCAAAGAGTGTGAGATCAGATGACTGTGTTGTCTCCTCAGTACCAGGTTTCAGCACATCTCTGGCTGGAAAGGAACTTGGAGGGGAGGATCCATAGTTATCAAAGGAGGAAATTTTGTGTAGTCAGTATGAGGAGCTTGGCGCAATATTAGGGAGCAGAACCTTCAAGGTCTTTGCAGTAATACCTGCATCATTAACAGAACTGGGCTCTGATGAAGAGTCACCAGACTCAAAACATTAACTCTTCTTTCGCCCCACAGATGCTGTCAGACCTGCTGACTTTTGCCAGCAATTTCTGTTTTTATTGCATAACTAAAGAAGCAGGTTCTGAAATTAAATTATGGAGGCAAGGATCAAATTTCAGAAGATGTGATAAATCAAAGAATAGAGTCAAGGCTAAAGAGAAAGTTATTAATAAGGGAAATGATAAATAGACTTGACAAGAAATGATTAAGAGTACAAATCCAAGAGTCAACCAATGCTGAAGACTGGAATTTATGAAGTGAGTAAAAAGATAAAACTGAATGCTATATATCTGAATGAACTCAGCATTTGGAACAAAATAGATGACCTGGAGTGCAAAAAGAAATGAATAAGTATGATCTGGTAGTCATTAGAGACAGGGATCATGTGACATGACATGGATTGGACTGAATTGGGACTAGACCAGGTATTGTGCAATGAGGCAAAATATTACAATCTATTATAAATGGCGTCAAAACCAAGCATTTGAAAAAGAATGGCAAAATTGGTCAGAATCAACATGGATTTATGAAAGGGAAATCACCTTTGACAGACTTATTCAAGTTTTTTATGAATACTACTTGTAGCATCGACAAACGAAAATCAAAGAATGTGACTTATTTAGATTTTCAGAAGGCTTTTGATAAGATTACACACAGGAGGTTGGCAAATAAAATTAGTGCATGTGATTGGAGGAAATTTACTAGTATAGATGGAGAATTGGTTAGCAGACGCCAAGTGGAGAGTAAGAATAAACAAATTATTGTCAGGATGACAGGCACTTATCAGTCAGGTACAGCAAGTGGCAGCACATGGTCCACAACTGTTCACGATCTAAATAAATGCTCTAGATTTGGAGACCAATTATAATACTTTCAAATTTGTCAATGACACCAAACTAGGAGAAAATGTAAGTTCTATGGAGGCTTCAGGAGGACTTGGAAGGGCCTTGTGAATGAGCTGGAACTGAAGTAGATGGACTATAATGTGAATAGCCTGAAGTTATCCACTTTGGTAGGAAAAAAAATCAAAGGCATGAAATTCCCTAAATGGTGAGCGGCTGGATAGTGTAGGTGTCCAAAGTGTCCTGAGTATCCTTGTGCGTGAATCACTGAATACATGCAGGTTCAGCAAACAATTAGAAAGGTGAACGGTAGGTTCCATTTCAAGAAGATTTGAGAACAGAAGTGAAGATGTCGTGCTTCAATTGTATAGAGTTTTGGTGAACTACAGAAAAGTTACAGGACAGAAAGAGGCCACTTCACTCAATCATGTCTGCACCTGCTGAATAAATCAGCCAAATAATCTATTCTCTCTTAACAACACTTGGTCCATATCCTTGCAGGATACAGCACATCAGATGCAGATCCAGGCTACTTTTGAATGAACTGACAGTTTCTGACTCAATCACCAAACCACAAGTTCACCACCTTCTGGAAGAAAATGATTTTCCTGATGTCCTTTCTGATTTTTCTACCATTCGCCTTAAATCTATGCCTCCAGTAAATAACCCCTCGCCTAGGGGCAACAGGTCTTCGCTGTATTCCACTATATTCAAGTCACTCATAATTTTGTACACCTCAATTAAGTCACCTTTCAGCCTCCTCTCTTCTAAAGAAAGCAACTCTAGGTATCCAATCTAAGCATTGGTAACATTCTTGTAAATCTCCACCTATACTTTGTCCGAGTGATTATGTCCTTCCATTAACAAGGTGCCCAGAGCTGTGTACGGAATTATAGTTATGGCATCCTATGTAGTTGTTGTTTACATCTCTGCTGTTGCATTGCTCAATGAAGGAAAGCATCACAAATCCAGTTCCTTACTACCCTTTCTACCTGACCTGTTATCGTCAGGGACTGTGGACACGCACACCAAAGTCACTCACTGCCTCCCTCAATAGACAGTATTTATTGTTTACGCTCTTGCTTATTTACCCTACACAAATGCATAAACTTGTGCTTCTCTGGATTGAATTCAATTTGCCATTATTCTGCTCACAATCAATATCCTCGTGCAGTCAATAGCCATCCTTTTCATTCTCAAACTCCCCAGCCAAATGTTTTGTTGTCTGCAAATTTCCCAATCATGCCTCCTATAACTAAGCTTAAATCATCAACTTATACCGCAAATAACGAGGGATCCAACATCTGTGGAACACCACTGGATGCTGTTTCCCATTCACAGAAACCGCTATCAACTGTTACTCTTTGTTTCCTTTCACTGAGTATCTTTTGGATCCAGCTTACCAATGAGGGGTACATGATAGCACAGTGGAGTTGTCACTGCACTAGTAATCCAGAGACCCAGGAAAATTCATGAGGGATATGGGTTCAAATCCCACCATGGCATATAATGAAATGTAAATCAGAGAAAATCTGGAACAGTCTAATAGTGATCATAGAATCATACAGCATGGAAACAGACCCTTTGGTCCAACCAGTCCATGCTAAACATAATTGCAAACTTAACTAGTCCCACCTGCCTGCTACTGGCCCATATCCCTACAAATCTTTCCTATTCATTTATCTATCCAAATGTCTTTTAAATGTTGTAATTGTACGCACATCCGCCACTTCCTCAGGAAGTTCATTCCACATGCGAACCACCCTCTGTGTAAAAAATTTGCCTTTTTTTTTAATATCTCTCCTCTCACTTTAAAAATATGCCCCCGGTCTTGAAATCCTCCATCCTAGGGAAAAGACAACTACCATTAACTCTATCTATATCTCTCATTATTTTATAAACTTCTATCAGATCGTCTCTTGACCTCCTATGCTCCAGTGGAAAAAGTCCCAGCCTATTCAGCTTTCTTTATAACTCAAACCTTCCATATCTGTCAACATCATGGTAAATTTCATCTGAACCCTCTCCAGCTTGATAACATCCTTCCTATAACTGGGTGACCAGAACTGCACACAGCACTCCAGAAGAGGCTGAATGCTCTGTACAGCCTCAACATGACTTCCCAACTCCAATACTCGAAGGACTGAGCAATGAAGTCAAGCATGCCAGATGCCTTTTTAACCGCCCTGTCTATATGTGACACAAACTGCAGAGTAATATGTACCTGCATCCCTAGGACCCTCTGTTCTACAACACTACCCAAGGTCCTACTATTAATTGTATAAGCCCTACTGTTGTTTGTTGTACCAAAATGTAATCCCTCGCATTTATCCAGATTGAACTCCTTCTGCCCTTTTTCATCCCATTGATTCATTTGATCAAGATCCCTCTGTAATCTTAGTGAAAACGAAGAAGGTTTTCTATGCCTCCAATTTTGGTGTCGTCCGCTAACTTAGTAACCATGCCTTCTATATTCTCATTCAAATCATTTATATAAATGACAAACAAAAGAGGACCCAGAACCAATCCCTGTGGAACACTGCTGGTCACAGTCCTCCAGTCTGAAAAGCAACTCTCCATCATTATTCTCTGTCTCATGCTGTTAAGCCAATTATGTATCCAATTGGCAAGCTCACCCTGAAGCCCATGTGACCTAACTTTACTAATTAGTCTACCATGCGGAACCTTGTCAAAGGCTTTACTAAAATCCAAATAAAGACCTCTTCATCAATCTTTTTGGTAACTTCCTCAGAAAACTCAATCAGGTTTGTGATACACCGTTTTCCTTACACAAAACCACGCTGACTATCCCTAATCAATTTTTGCCTCTCTAAATGTCCATATCTCCTAATTTTTATGATTACTTCCAACAATTTACCCATAACCGAAATCAGACTCTCAGGTTTATAATTCCCTGATTTCTCCTTAAAGCCTTTATTAAATTTAGGTACAACATTAGCCACCTCTAGTCATCAGGCACCTCACCTGTAGTTATAGCTGATGCAAATATTTGTGCAATGAGTCTTGTAATTTCCTCCATTACTTCCCAAAATGTTCTGGGATACCCTAGATCAGGTGTTGGAGATTTATCCAACTTTATATTCTCTAAGATCTCCCAAACTTTCTCTTCTGTAATGTGAACTGTTTTTAAAACATCAGAGTTTATTTCTCTGCATTCTCTAGACTCCATTCCTTTTTCCACAGTAAAAACTGACACGACATATTCATTTAGTATCTCTTCCCATCTCCTGGGGTTCAACAGAAGGACGACCTCTTTGACCTTTAAGAGGCACTATTCTCTCTCTAACTACCCTCTTGCTCTTAATGCATTTGTAGAATCTCTTTGGATTATCCTTAACCTTTCATGCCAAAGTTATCTCATATCCCCTCTTTGGCTTCCTGATTTCTCTCTTAAGAATGCCCCTACACTCTTTATTATTGACTAAGAGATTCAATTGTACCAAGTTGTCTCTATCTGAAATAAGATTCTCTTTTATTCTTGACTAGAACCTCAATATCTTTATTTATCCGTTGCTCCTTAATCTTTCCAGCTTTACCCTTCACTCTAACAGGAACAAAATGCTTCCGAACGCTCGTCATCACACTCTTGTACGCCTCCCACGTGTTGACGTCTTTTTGCCTGTGAACAGTTTGCTCCAATC